TGTGTGAGTGTGTGTGTGTGAGTGTGTGTGTGTGTGAGTGTGTGAGTGTGTGTGTGAGTGTGTGTGTGTCTGAGAGTGTGTGTGTGTGTGTGTGTGTTCTCATTATTCTGCATGGGACTGGTTTAAATGAAGTGGTTTAATGAAGAGATGTGTGTGTGTTCAGGTGTTTAACGAGGACGGCACAGTGCGCTGCTTCATCGATGCCAGTCAGGAGGACCAGCGCAGCTGGATGAGCTACATTAAATGCGCCCGGAACGAGCAGGAGCAAAACCTGGAGGTGGTTCAGATCGGCAGCAGCATCTTCTACAGAGCTCTGGAGGTGAAGCACCTTCTGCTGATGCACTGCTGCACTGATGTGATGCAACACAGTCGCACGGTGATCATCAGTGGGGTCCATGTGTGTGAGTGTGTGTGTGTCTGAGAGTGTGTGTGTGTGTGTGTGTGTTCTCATTATTCTGCATGGGACTGGTTTAAATGAAGTGGTTTAATGAAGAGATGTGTGTGTGTTCAGGTGTTTAACGAGGACGGCACAGTGCGCTGCTTCATCGATGCCAGTCAGGAGGACCAGCGCAGCTGGATGAGCTACATTAAATGCGCCCGGAACGAGCAGGAGCAAAACCTGGAGGTGGTTCAGATCGGCGGCAGCATCTTCTACAGAGCTCTGGAGGTGAAGCACCTTCTGCTGATGCACTGCTGCACTGATGTGATGCAACACAGTCGCACGGTGATCGTCAGTGGGGTCCAAAACTTTGAGTGCACGTGGAAAACTATGGGATTCAAAATCTGAATACATTTAATATGGAAATAAACCACATTTTAGTGTTTTAAAAAGTAAAAAGACACAATTACATACAATTATGAAGAAATGCCTTGTTTTTTTTTATGATTTTGGCTGTTCATGCAAACACCATAAAATTTGCCAAAAATGTTTTTTTATTGGAATTTTTATATTTCACTCTCATTTAAACATATGTCACTCTAGGTACAATAAAATAGTGTGTGTGGTTTTTAGTTAACTGTAATAACTCTGACTCGGATCACAAATTATGTTAAAACTGGGTTGCAAAATTTGTGCAATACGCAATATCAAATATGACGTATAATGTAACCTCAAATAAATTAAAATAAAACAGCACATATAATATTAACTATGATCTCCAGAGGTTTGGACGAACCATTTTCCGTAATTTACAGTAAACCATCTCATGTAATTTTCACAATTACATAAAATTATGAGGAAATATTGTCAATGAATAACATTCCTTTTTTTTCTCTCGTTTTTTTAATCTTTATGGCTGTGTTAATGCAAACAGTATAAAATCAGCCAAAAATGTTGAATTTTATTGGAATTATAATATTTAATTTCCTTTCGGAATTTTTATATTTCACTCTCATTTAAACATATGTCACTCTAGGTACAATAAAATAGTGTGTGTGGTTTTTAGTTAACTGTAATAACTCTGACTCGGATCACAAATTATGTTAAAACTGGGTTGCAAAATTTGTGCAATACGCAATATCAAATATGACGTATAATGTAACCTCAAATAAATTAAAATAAAACAGCACATATAATATTAACTATGATCTCCAGAGGTTTGGACGAACCATTTTCCGTAATTTACAGTAAACCATCTCATGTAATTTTCACAATTACATAAAATTATGAGGAAATATTGTCAATGAATAACATTCCTTTTTTTTCTCTCGTTTTTTTTATCTTTATGGCTGTGTTAATGCAAACAGTATAAAATCAGCCAAAAATGTTGAATTTTATTGGAATTATAAATCTATTTCACTTTAGGTACAGTAAAATAGTTTGTTTTGTGACATTCTGTAAACAAACTGGCATTTAGAGGGTTAAAATCCTGACAATGAATTAATTTGATAAGGATCGATGATGATTAAAAAGTATGAATACATAATTTTATATGACCTTTTTTTGACAGAAATGTTTGTCCTCTAAGGACAGCTGTGTAACTTTCTGAAATTGATGCACAAGGGGTTAATTTATTAAAAAACAATGAAATTAGTATTCTATATTCAGATGGTCAGATGTTGGTTTTGTGGATAAAATCACACATTGTTTAATTAGACACATGCAAAATATCAAAGTTATGAAGAAACATTCTTCCAGTAACATTAATAGAGCGTCCACTCGGAGTTATAGTCTTTAATATTGTTCTCAAACCGTTAGCACAAAAACATTATTCGCTTTATGTACATAATTAATGGATAATATTTAATTTCCTTTCATAAATCTATTTCACTTTAGGTACAGTAAAATAGTTTGTTTTGTGACATTCTGTAAACAAACTGGCATTTAGAGGGTTAAAATCCTGACAATGAATTAATTTGATAAGGATCGATGATGATTAAAAAGTATGAATACATAATTTTATATGACCTTTTTTTGACAGAAATGTTTGTCCTCTAAGGACAGCTGTGTAACTTTCTGAAATTGATGCACAAGGGGTTAATTTATTAAAAAACAATGAAATTAGTATTCTATATTCAGATGGTCGGATGTTGGTTTTGTGGATAAAATCACACATTGTTTAATTACACATGCAAAATATCAAAGTTATGAAGAAACATTCTTCCAGTAACATTAATAGAGCGTCCACTCGGAGTTATAGTCTTTAATATTGTTCTCAAACCGTTAGCACAAAAACATTATTCGCTTTATGTACATAATTAATGAAACGTTTTAGTAGCACGTTTGTCGAATGTTTTTTAAATGTTACTTAAAGTTCAGAGAACATTCAGAAGTAACGTTCCCATGATGTTTGCAAGATGATACAAAAATGGCAGTTCCCTCAATGTTTTCTCTCAAGTTACATAATCAATGGAAACAGTTTTTTTGTTAAACATTTAACATTTGGATGGTTGTCTCCAGACTATTCCTCCGGAGCAGGAGCTGCTGGTTTGGTACAGGAATTCCCACAACACTTTCCTGGGTATTCCCGGTGTTCCCGGCGTTCCCAGTGCTCCCAGTGCTCCCAGCACAGAGGAGCAGCAGCAGCAGAAGAACAGGAGTGGTATGTGTTCACTTCATTAGTCTGAGTTTAAGAGTGCAGAGCAGAGAGACATGAACACGTGTGCCCTCTGGTGGTGCATTATGGGATTGCTGTCCACATTTGACATTCCATAATGTTTAAAGAGCAATACTTGTCCAGCTATTATTTTACACACTTTCATGTCATGCTTTATTCACACAAATGAATGTCTTTGTGACGATAAACTAGATCAAATAATATCTAACATAAAATGAGCTACACTTTAAATCTGAAACTAGTCGAGCTTAACCATTCAAGCAACTAGCTTTTCTGAGAAAATGATCAAATAAACGTAGCTTTTTCTTTCTTTAAATTGAGAAATAAAAGTTCATTAATTAACACAGTTATTGCATGCTTAATTTAGATTATTATTATTATTATTATTCGCAATCTTGTTACACATTCTGTTATAGGTTTATTTTTTGGACCTAAGATTTTATGACTATCTTTATTTCATTTGTATGTTTAAATGAGAGTTATTTTAAAACTGAACTCAGACCAGTGCTATTTTAGAAAAGACAAAAACATGTCTGTTTGTTTTTATCAGGTTTTAGTTTGAGTTATTTTAGTACTTCAACTCAAACTAAACAAAAACGATGCCATGGAATTGCTGAAATAAAAAAAAAGAAATATTTTATTTACATTAAATTTAAATGTGTATGAAAAAATGCATTTTATTTCAGTTAATGTTTATTTTATTTTAAGTAGTGAAGGTTTTAGTTTTAAACGACACAAATTAAGCTAGAACAGGGTTAAAACAGATATAATATTTTAGCATATAATAATAAAACAATCTTTCTGACAGTTTACTGACACGTTCTAGAAACATGGACTTTTTTGAGCCCTTTTTGTATCAGTTTGTGGAAGCTGCATTTGTATTTGACTAATAAACTGGGTGCACTAAAGTGAACGCGTAGCTGTAGCTCCTCCAGTGTCCGAGACTGAGCCGCTCTCTCTGTCCTCCACAGCAGACGACTCTCACGCATGCGACGCTGCGTCCTCCTCTTCCTCCTCTTCCTCCTCGAGCCGCATGCGCTGCGTCATCTGCCACCGCGGCTTCAACTCCCGCAGCAACCTGCGCTCGCACATGCGCATCCACACCCTGGACAAGCCCTTCGTGTGCCGCTTCTGCAGCCGCCGCTTCAGCCAGTCCTCCACGCTGCGCAACCACGTGCGTCTGCACACCGGCGAGCGCCCGTACAAGTGCACCGTCTGCCAGAGCGCCTACTCGCAGCTGGCCGGCCTGCGTGCGCATCAGAAGAGTGCGCGACACAGACCCGCGGGATCGAACCCGGAGCCGCCGCCCGCTCCGCACCCTGCACTGCTGCGCCACGTCCCCACCATGGTGCTCTGAGAGCGCAGACGCAGACGGATCGAGTCCAGGAGCACGCACTTTAATCAGCACGAACCTGCGGCAATAAGAGCCACGAGAGAGAAACCACCGACTGGAGGAGGATGATGAGTGAGTGATCACTGGATGCAGATCACAAATCAAGCATGACTCATAAACAGGGTTTCTGCAGGCTTTATTAGACCAAGTAAAGAAAACTGAATTAAACGCACTGCCTCAATGTGTGACCCTGGAGCACAAAAGCAGTCATAAGGGGGTCGATTTTGTGAAACTGAGATGTATGCATCATCTGAAAGCTGAATAAATAATCTTTCCATTGATGGATGGTTTGTTAGGATCGGACAATATTTGAAAATCTGGAATCTGAGGGTGCAAAAAAATCTAAATATTGAGAAAATCATCTTTAAAGTTGTCCAAATGAAGTTCTTAGCAATGCATATTACTAATCAAACATTAAGTTTTGATATATTTACGGTAGGAGATTTACAAAATATCTTCATGGAACATGATCTTTACTTAATATCCTAATGATTTTTGGCATAAAAGAGAAATGTATAATTGTGACCCATACAATGTATTGTTGGCTATTGCTACAAATATCCCCCAGCGACTTAACACTGCTTTTGTCTGAAATGTAAATGTCTTGTATTAGCAGCACGGTTTTCAAAATAGATCTCCAATACTTTTAATAATCTGATCACACTGCAAAAAGTGCTGCTTTTCCTCCGTCCTCCTGAAGATCCTTCAATCAAGATGCATCTACTTCAGAAGCAAAATAACATAAAGTCTTGTTTTCTGAGAAACGGATCAAAACGAGTTTACGACTGAAACAAGAACTAACAGGTTCAGAAGTACGTTTTTAATCATAAACTCACTTCATTCGGTCTAATGTCTCAGAAAGCAGGTTTAATTAGCATCTCCAGTCTGCAAAACAAGACAAAGCACCGAGGAAGAGATTTCTTTGTGCAGTTCATTCAACGATGAATGCCATGACTTGATGAATTTCAGACTTTCTGCTCTGATTGAAGACATTTGCAGGCCTTAGTGTGAGAACAAGTGAATTAAGACTTTTTTTAAAACCCGCAGAAACGCCTTAAAGTTACTTGAGAATATATTACGTCTTGTTTTGTATCAGAATGAAGTGAGTTTATGCTTGAATCAAGTACAAATATCTGCTAACGTGGTCTGGTTTCTCCTTTGAATTCAGTTTTTTCTGAGCCCACTGGCAGATACTTGTTCTTGTTTTAAGCAAAAAAGAAAACATCTGATACATTGTTATTTCACTTCTTGATTTTAAGAATGTTTAAATATTTGTACTGAAAAACATCACAAATACTGTCATAAAACCACTTTTATTTTTGCAGTACATCTTTTGTATGGAGTGCATTCTAATCTTCATGTATGTTGATGTTTCTAGCTGCGCTTTAAGATCGAATAGACTTTACTGCAATTCAGTGAACTGTGCACGAAGCTTCAGTTCAGCCATAATTAAAAGCTTGAAAGAAACCAAGAGAAAACATCTTCTGTCTCTTGGGGTCTGCAGCGGTGACTCTAATGAATGAACACGAGGATAAAGTTGAAATGTTTGTGAACTCTAATGTCTAATGTGAGTCGTCCGGTGGATCAGACAAGCGCACAAATCAGCGTTAAGATGTATTGTATTTTTTATGCTTGTATTTTTGTCTATTGTAAATAAAACAGTTGAAACAAACGACGGATTGCACTGTATGGGAGAGTTGAAGCTAATTATCTTATGTTCATTTCGAGTGACGACAGAACCGTTTGAAGAGGTCAAAGGTGGCTGAATAGTGATTCAGATGAGCTGAGCTGAAGTGCGTGTTTCAATCAGTTATGACGATCGGTCAGCAACTGGTAGCTGTAACAAACCCAAAGGTACAGTTCACCCAAAAATGAAAATTCTATTTCATTCCAAACCTATATGAGCTTCTTTCTTCTATTGAACAGAACATAAGATATTTTGAACAGTTGATGCTCTCTATTAACTTCTTCACACAAATATTACTCCGAAACTTCACAATAACTCTAAACTAAGCGTTAACCGGTGGATGTCTGTGGTGATCAGCTGCACAGAGTTACATTTCTACTCAGACTTTCTGAAACAGCTAAAGACTTGTTTCTGCTCTTCTGAATCAAAGATATCAAAATCACTGTTGCCTTGGGAACTAACTGAAATAAGTTGAAGTAAAATTACTGAAAGTGGAAAAGCAAATAGAAAGCATAAAAAAAAAGAGTCAGCACGACAAAATTACTCAAACTTAAACTAAAAAAATAAAACGAATAATATAAAAGATAATTCAAAATGTTAATAAATATTTGAATAGTATATAAGTAATGCTAAAATAACACGGGCTCTTATTGAAATGAATGATGCGGCAACATTATTGATCGATCAGGAGTCTCCAGTGTCTTCAGATTCACTTTATATCCTTCATGCATCTTTTAAAAAAATCTTATGATCAGTTCAGCTGATTTTGTGTGTACATGTAATGGTTAAAGCTGTCAGGTTGGTGTGAGTTCTGAAAATATCTGAGATTTTTTAGCTCATATCTGTTAGTTCTGAAACCATCTGCATGCTGTAAAACTAACTTTTATTGGATTTTTATATGTAAAAAAAATATGCCCATTAAATGTATCTGACAAGTTTGTGTTACTTTCACTGTTCATCTTTTGCTCTGTGGTGCATCATCTGTACTGTAACAGCATTAGAGCTGCTCCACTGTACTCACGCGCTCTGCTGTAATAATGCAAGAAAAACAAGTCTGAATGTTATTATTTTGCTCTAATAGTATTATTATCATTATTTTCATCCTTTAGTCCCGCCCACAGCGCAATCTCATTGGCCCAGAGTCCCGGCGTGACGTGTCGCGCACTTTTGACGCGAGCGTGTGATTCCGTGCGATCATCTTTAAAGTTGTTCAAATGAAGTTCTTAGCAATGCATATTACTAATCAAACATTAAGTTTTGATATATTTACGGTAGGAGATTTACAAAATATCTTCATGGAACATGATCTTTACTTAATATCCTAATGATTTTTGGCATAAAAGAGAAATGTATAATTGTGACCCATACAATGTATTGTTGGCTATTGCTACAAATATCCCCCAGCGACTTAACACTGCTTTTGTCTGAAATGTAAATGTCTTGTATTAGCAGCACGGTTTTCAAAATAGATCTCCAATACTTTTAATAATCTGATCACACTGCAAAAAGTGCTGCTTTTCCTCCGTCCTCCTGAAGATCCTTCAATCAAGATGCATCTACTTCAGAAGCAAAATAACATAAAGTCTTGTTTTCTGAGAAACGGATCAAAACGAGTTTACGACTGAAACAAGAACTAACAGGTTCAGAAGTACGTTTTTAATCATAAACTCACTTCATTCGGTCTAATGTCTCAGAAAGCAGGTTTAATTAGCATCTCCAGTCTGCAAAACAAGACAAAGCACCGAGGAAGAGATTTCTTTGTGCAGTTCATTCAACGATGAATGCCATGACTTGATGAATTTCAGACTTTCTGCTCTGATTGAAGACATTTGCAGGCCTTAGTGTGAGAACAAGTGAATTAAGACTTTTTTTAAAACCCGCAGAAACGCCTTAAAGTTACTTGAGAATATATTACGTCTTGTTTTGTATCAGAATGAAGTGAGTTTATGCTTGAATCAAGTACAAATATCTGCTAACGTGGTCTGGTTTCTCCTTTGAATTCAGTTTTTTCTGAGCCCACTGGCAGATACTTGTTCTTGTTTTAAGCAAAAAAGAAAACATCTGATACATTGTTATTTCACTTCTTGATTTTAAGAATGTTTAAATATTTGTACTGAAAAACATCACAAATACTGTCATAAAACCACTTTTATTTTTGCAGTACATCTTTTGTATGGAGTGCATTCTAATCTTCATGTATGTTGATGTTTCTACCTGCGCTTTAAGATCGAATAGACTTTACTGCAATTCAGTGAACTGTGCACGAAGCTTCAGTTCAGCCATAATTAAAAGCTTGAAAGAAACCAAGAGAAAACATCTTCTGTCTCTTGGGGTCTGCAGCGGTGACTCTAATGAATGAACACGAGGATAAAGTTGAAATGTTTGTGAACTCTAATGTCTAATGTGAGTCGTCCGGTGGATCAGACAAGCGCACAAATCAGCGTTAAGATGTATTGTATTTTTTATGCTTGTATTTTTGTCTATTGTAAATAAAACAGTTGAAACAAACGACGGATTGCACTGTATGGGAGAGTTGAAGCTAATTATCTTATGTTCATTTCGAGTGACGACAGAACCGTTTGAAGAGGTCAAAGGTGGCTGAATAGTGATTCAGATGAGCTGAGCTGAAGTGCGTGTTTCAATCAGTTATGACGATCGGTCAGCAACTGGTAGCTGTAACAAACCCAAAGGTACAGTTCACCCAAAAATGAAAATTCTATTTCATTCCAAACCTATATGAGCTTCTTTCTTCTATTGAACAGAACATAAGATATTTTGAACAGTTGATGCTCTCTATTAACTTCTTCACACAAATATTACTCCGAAACTTCACAATAACTCTAAACTAAGCGTTAACCGGTGGATGTCTGTGGTGATCAGCTGCACAGAGTTACATTTCTACTCAGACTTTCTGAAACAGCTAAAGACTTGTTTCTGCTCTTCTGAATCAAAGATATCAAAATCACTGTTGCCTTGGGAACTAACTGAAATAAGTTGAAGTAAAATTACTGAAAGTGGAAAAGCAAATAGAAAGCATAAAAAAAAAGAGTCAGCACGACAAAATTACTCAAAGTTAAACTAAAAAATAAAACGAATAATATAAAAGATAATTCAAAATGTTAATAAATATTTGAATAGTATATAAGTAATGCTAAAATAACACGGGCTCTTATTGAAATGAATGATGCGGCAACATTATTGATCGATCAGGAGTCTCCAGTGTCTTCAGATTCACTTTATATCCTTCATGCATCTTTTAAAAAAATCTTATGATCAGTTCAGCTGATTTTGTGTGTACATGTAATGGTTAAAGCTGTCAGGTTGGTGTGAGTTCTGAAAATATCTGAGATTTTTTAGCTCATATCTGTTAGTTCTGAAACCATCTGCATGCTGTAAAACTAACTTTTATTGGATTTTTATATGTAAAAAAAATATGCCCATTAAATGTATCTGACAAGTTTGTGTTACTTTCACTGTTCATCTTTTGCTCTGTGGTGCATCATCTGTACTGTAACAGCATTAGAGCTGCTCCACTGTACTCACGCGCTCTGCTGTAATAATGCAAGAAAAACAAGTGCTCTAATAGTATTATTATCATTATTTTCATCCTTTAGTCCCGCCCACAGCGCAATCTCATTGGCCCAGAGTCCCGGCGTGACGTGTCGTGCACTTTTGACGCGAGCGTGTGATTCCGTGCAGTCCAGCGGCGACGACTCGAGAGCAAAGAGCAAGCAGTTCCTGCTCAACATCCCGGAGTCGGAGCAGCAGCTCAAGCCCTCGTCCACCGTCACACCGGTCCCGCCGGTGACCCAGCTGCTGCTCGCCGGTCTGCCTCCTGCACTGAAGCTGTCGCAGGCGTCCGCTTCGACTCCACAGCCGCTGGCCGTCATGACAAACACCGGCAACCTCAGCGCGAAGACGGAGGAGAACGAGGCGCCGAAGAGCTGCGAGAAAGCCGCGCGAGCGTTCGACGAGGACGAGCTGTTCCTCTTGAGTTACGTCCCTGCGCTCAAAAGACTGACGCCGCAGAAAAGAGCCGCCGTCAAGATGCAGATCCAGCAGATCATGTTTGACGCAGAGTTCAAAGACCACTGAACGCAAACTGGTCTTTTACTGTCGAAGCCCCTCGAGTGGTTCAGAGCAGAAGGTGCTTGCTCTCTGTATGAATGCTGCTGCTTCGTCAAATGTGCAGAAAAGCATTCATTGTGTGTCCGGACGTTCTGCATCGAGTTCACTCGAAACACAATTACGCTTTATCTGAAGGTGTCCTTGTTCGTGCCGAGTAATGTTACTGTACTCACTACACGGTTAGGGTTACTTGCATGCGATTATGCATCATTAATTGTTGCTATAATAGCAAGTGCATGTAACGAGGACACCTTAAAATAATGCCTTCGTATCATCACGGCACATTTGCCAAAATATATATTCTCAGCATTTAACACTTCATGGGTGTTTGGGGGCATTTTCAGATAAACCGTGAATATGATGTTTGCCAGTGACTAATGAAGCCGTGTTGTTTTTTGATTCATAAAAGCACGAACTCGAGGAAAACTGGCTCGGTTGATGATCAGAACAAAGACACCAGAGCTAATAACAACAGACGGAAACATGGGAGTCATGCAGTAACCCAAACCCATTTCTAAATATATATTCTCAGCATGTCTTGGTGCAAACCTCTCTTAAAATTTCTTTTTAGTTCTCATTAGAAGCCCAGACGTTCTCTACTGTTTTTATTGTTCCAAATAAAAAATATGAACTCGTGGAAAACAAGTGCTCGGCTGATTTTAAAGACAAAAGCTAATTATGCAGTGATCAAATATCTTGCACTCAAGCCTCTTCGTTCTTTCCCTCATGATCGGTTTAGTGATGGAACAGTTAACTAGTCAAGCAGTTAGTGTCACGAACTGGGTTGAAAGTCGTCTCACACAAACCAAAAACACTTGTTTAGCATCCGATTCGATCAAGAGCCAATTAAAAACGTGCATTTAGTCAGATGTGCGCCAAATGTTTAAATATACGTAAAATCAGTTAGTTTAGTTTAACAGAACAGACTTTAATTAGTGAAATGAGTCACTGTGCAAACGCAGTTTTGCACAAAAGAAAGACATTGCAATGAAAATCTGAAGTTATCGTTAGGATGTATATTATTTATGCATTCATATGAGTTCTACTTGCTCTGCTACAGTGAGTGAAATAAGACTGGTGTTTATTAAAATCATATCTGGGAAGAAAACTGAACGGTGTCCTCCGACGAGGACGGTAAACACAGTTCGTCAGCGTTTAGGCAATAAGCAGCCAAAACATGATGAGGAGCGCCACGAACAGGAAGAGGCGGGACAGGAAGTGCTCATCCGTGTGCTGAGGGCTTCCTGGAGCTGCTGCCGAGACACAAAACGTTTAATACACTCCTTAATAAAGCATCATAATGTACAATCACAGATAAACACAATCACAGGGGATTACTGTGATGTTTTTAGCAGCTCTCGTTCTGACGGCACCCATTGCACACTGATGCAATGCTACATTTCTACAAATCTGATAAAGAAACAAACTCATCTCAAATAGCATCTCTCAGAAGTATAAACGGTGTTATATTAAATAATTGATTTATATGAACCAATGCTGAAAGTACAATACGGTTCAAAGACATGCTGGATTATTACTATGCATTGTTATAAAAACGTCACGATGAAACAAATGTAGCGACAGATCTCTTCATCGGAGTGTAACAAATGATCAGAGATGTGGGCGTGGCTCTCAACGTTATATGCAAATGAGTGTGAGCATGTGGGGGCGGAGCTTAAGATCACTAAATGATCCATTTTCACTGGAATCTGCAGTTCTGCATGTGCACTGATGAACTGTTCACTATTAAGATCTACAGCATGCATTTAGAAAATAGCATTTCATTTCGTGAAAACGTGGTGTTTAGCGATATATCAGCCAGTCTGCACACACCTGGAGGCGGTCGTCCGTCATTGATATTAAACGCTGTAGCGAAGATCCCGAAAGGAAAAGCCCCGATACCGAAAGACATCTGGAAGCCTCCATCGCCGAAGCCGAAGCCCTGAAAGCCCTGCAAACACACCGAACGCTCAGATCCATATAAACACACATTCATGATTTTTAATGTTTTTTAGAGAATTCTCTTCTGCTCACCAAAATACAGAAAAAGCAGTAATATTTTTACTATTTAAAACAGCTGTTTTCTGTGTGAATATCAGTTAAACTGTACTGTATTCCTGTGATGTGCAGCTGTATTTTCAGCATCATTCCTCCAGTCTTCAGTGTCACATGATCTTCAGAAATCAGTATAATATGCTGATCTGCTGCTCGAGAAACATTATTATTATTATCAGTGTTGAAAACAGCCGAGTAGAATTTTTTCAGGTTTCTCTGATGAACAGAAAGTTCAGAAGAAAAGCATTTATCTGAAATAGAAATCTTTTGTAACATTATAAATGTCTTTATCATCACTTTTGATCAATTTAAAGCATCCTTGCTAAATAAAACTATTAATTTCTATCATTCTTTCCCCAAAAAATGACACTGACTCTAAGTTTTTAAATGCTAGAGTTTATAATGTTACAAAAAAGCGTTTTATTTCAGATAAATGCTGATCTTTGGATCTTTCTATTCATCAAAGAATCCTGAAAAAAAGTGTACTCAGCTGTCTTCAACATTGATAATAATCAGAAATGTGTCTTGAGCAGCAGAGCAGCATATTATAGTGATTTCTGAAGATCATGTGACACTGAAGACTGGAGGAATGATGCTGAAAATACAGCTGCACATCACAGAAATACATTACAGTTTAACACATACTCACAGAGAAAACAGCTGTTTTACATTCTAATAATATTTCACAATTTTTACTGTATTTTTGATCAAATAAATGCTGAAGAGACGTCTTTAAAACACACGACACTTTTGACTGGAAGTGTACACTACAGAACAAGCGTTCTCATGACAAACAATCATTATGCAAGACCTCCAGGAGTTGAGCGAGAGCAGAAAGTGATGCAATATTAATGGTCAGATGCTGTCATCCACAGAGACGGCATTAATAAGCCCCGGCGGGACGCTCGTTTGACTAATGAATCACCCTCAGGCTGGCACTGCAGCGAGCGCCGTCATCCACGCAACCGTTTCATCACAAACCTCATTTGTAGCATTGATGGTACAGTATATAGATTACAAAAACAAAATCTGGTGTAGAAACTATTTCCACTCAGAAATGTGACAGAAAATCACAAAGAAACTGAGCCTGCAGCACGAAAGCAGTCGCTGGGGGATATTTGTAGCAATAGCCAACAATACATTGTATGGGTCACAATTATAAATTTCTCTTTTATGCCAAAAATCATTAGGATATTAAGTAAAGATCATGTTCCATGAAGATATTTTGTACATCTCCTACTGTAAATATATCAAAACTTAATGTTTGATTAGTAATATGCATTGCTAAGAACTTCATTTGAACAACTTTAAAGATGATTTTCTCAATATTTAGATTTTTTTGCACCCTCAGATTCCAGATTTTCTAATATTGTCCGATCCTAACAAACCATACATCAATGGAAAGCTTATTTATTCAGCTTTCAGATGATGTATAAATCTCAATTTCACAAAATTGACCCTTATGGCTGGTTTTGTGCTCCAGGGTCACACATATCTTTTACAGACCAGCTGCTGGAGCTTATAAAACATGTAAAGCCTTCAAAATAAAAGAAATAATGACTGTGTAAGAGAAACTCACGCCTCGGTTCTCCGGCTCTGGACGCTGTCCTTGCGGTCGTGGAGGAGTTCTCTCTCTGAAATCATAACGCAGAATTACTTTGTGTTTTATATTTCAATCAATGAAGTACTGGTGTGTAGATATCACAGGTTAAGTCACATTTATTCATATAGCGCTTTATACAATACAGACTGGTTCAAAGCAGCTTCGCAGAGGACAAAAAGAGTGTTAATGTTGCAAAATTCATCAGCTATGAAACAACAACAGAGTTATTATTCAGATCAATTCATGATCAGTCAATGTTGATTCAGTTCAGTTCAATAACAGTGTTCATTAATTATGAAATTGTGTCATTTTAGTATGATTGGGATACTAGTATAGATTTATTAATATTTTGAATCTTTAGTTGAAGTTATAGTAATTTCGTTGTGTTTTTGTCATTTTTATTAGTGTTTATTTAAAATATATGTCTGTATAGTATACAGATGTGTAGTATTACAGTTTAACAGAGATTCACATAGAAAACAGCTGTTTTACATTATAATAATATTTCATAATTTTTACTGTATTTCTGATTAAATAAATGCACACACATATATACACATCACCTGTTACGTATAAATGTACATTATTAGTTTATGATACTTTATATGATAGCTTAAAGCTTTTATTTTGAAGTCGTAGTCGCGAGTGTGTTTAAAGCAAAGATTGTCTTAATCTTAAATGATTAAGATTCACGGCTAACAGGAATCTTATCAAGCACCTGAGAACGTTTAAAGGTCAAAACACTGATTTAACGTCATGCCATCCGTTTTATTTGAATTTGTGTCGGATATTTCTTTGGTACATTTGTATTTGATGTACAGTGGGTATGGAAAGTATTCAGACCCCCTTAAATTTTTCACTTTTTGTTATATTGCAGCCATTTGCTAAAATCCTTTAAGTTAATTTTTTTCCTCATTAATGTACACACAGCACCCCATATTGACAGAAAAACACAGAATTGTTGACATTTTTGCAGATTTATTAAAAAAGAAAAACTGAAATATCACATGGTCCTAAGTATTCAGACCCTTTGCTCAGTATTTAGTAGAAGCACCCTTTTGATCGAATACAGCCATGAGTCTTTTTGGGAAAGAGGCAACAAGTTTTTCACACCTGGATTTGGGAATCCTCTGCCATTCCTCCTAAAATTTAAGGGGGTCTGAATACTTTCCGTACCCACTGTATGCTTAGCTCCTCTTCTATGCAAGCTCTTCCGCGTCATTTAACGATGATCTACAGCTCTGGCGTGATTTATAGTCATGTTTATAAGCTCAAATATCACCCTGCACCTGGGGTCTTGTTGTGCGGTGCTGCCTCTGCCGTACAGCGGGATCACTTTATCTCGACTGATGCCGGCTTTACAAACGGGACACACCTGTCTGTTCGGCCTGGTTTCCAGCCACTGCAAACACACACAGAGAGACACGGTTAAGAGAATCATACAACGGTCACGTCACGTGATCTTGAGCGATTACTGAACACTCACCTGATGCAGACACGGCCAGCTAGGAGGAGAGACGGGAGAGAGAAAACAGAGCAGTTATTACCCAGCACTTCACGAGAGACTCGTGAGAGTCGATCAGGTCTCACCAGAAGAGATGTCCGCACAGACTGATGACGGCGTCTTTGGACGTGTCCAGACAGATGTTGCACTCAAACGTGCTGTCCTGAGCACCGCTGCCGTTCTCGCCGTTCTCTGCTGATGACGCTGAACTCTCTGCGCTGGCCATTCTGCATTCACCTCGAACAGCTCAGCGTCTGCAAAACCTGCACAGAAACACAGCAGAAACTCACAGTCCTCTGCACAATCTGACTTTGCTGCAGCCTGGAACTGAACTGCTGGTTTCTCCCAAGGTTTCTTCTCCATTAGGTCACCGATGGAGTTTTGGTTCCTTGCTTAGTTGGGGACACTTAATAATATCCAGCAGAGTATATTACCAGAATAGAATAAATGCAGCCTTGATGAGCAGAAGAGACTTCTTGAAAATATTACAAGTCTTACTGATCCCACACTTTTGAGCGCTAGTGTATATATATA